AGTTTCGTGATAATATGTGGCTATGACGCAGCTCCCTTTTTAAGCCCCACAGATGTTTGTCAAACACTGTATTCTCGTTTGTGAAATCCTCCCTGTACTGCGAACTGTCCAGCACTCAACCACTCAGGTCCGTTCTAAGCGAATCTGGAGAAGGCTCGACGTCTATTAGTGTTTTGTTCGGTTGTTACAACACGGCTTCCGGTTCAAACGTTTTCCGAATTCGCTTTCGCCCTCCTCGCCTTTATCCAGACTAAATTGTCTATTTGTGGTCCATCCACACTGGCCCAATAACCATTTCGATAAATGGTTTGCGAGTTTGTGGGAAAAATAAGTGAACTCCTATTCGTTGAAAATTAACTTTGTCAACTATTCGTGGACGTACTTTCCTGACGAGACTCGTGTCAACTCTTATATCCGAGCCAGTTGCCTCTGTTTAGCAAGTGCGTATGACCCGCATTAGTCTTCCCGGGTACCTAAATGCAATGAATGCCATTCTATTGGTGTATTTATTGGGAGATTCGATTTACATGAAGGACCTTTTTATTGGAGCTAAGTATTGGTGATATCACATTGTATTTCTCCCTGAAGTTTGACGCCCCTATAAAAGCGAATTAGTGAACAACTGGTTCGCCGTAACTAGGGTTCCCCGGACTTCTGATTTCTAACCATTGAACCATCGTTGTGATTAGAAATCCATTCAGAATCCTTTAGGCTACTATGGCAAGTTGCCTCTAGTGTTCGAATTAGTTAGAGCGCGAATTCACTGACCAGAAGGTCCGTGGTTTGAACCAGACTTATGCCTCCCGACTTCCTTTGTCTATGCTCGGGCAACCTGGCAGTATCCCAGTCCTCGTGCTCCCTTTGGGTGACATGGCAGTTGGGGACCGAAAGGGTGATACAGCTGAACGAGAGCTATTCACGTTTGATAAACCTGTGTCTACTCCCATTCTGTTAAACTGATGAGAAGCGGCCTCTTGGAATTGCATACAGACTACCGTACCATGGTAGCTCCAATGGCTTAAATGACAGGACCGCCAACTGGATGAAGCTATACTGAATTTTCAAAACTGCTTATTTTTTCACGATTGTCAGAATAATTAGATCATGTTAACCATGGCTTAAAGTCAATTGGCCAACTGTTATTTATGTCAAGTTTTTTGCTATTCAACTCAGGGTTCTCTGCAGCGACCAGCTACGATCAGAGATTCACATAACCTAAGTATGTACCTTCGGGAAACAGCTTTATCTCGGTCTGACAATGTCTCGCGATTTGTTTCCGACTAAACGGAACGGTATCTATTTTACTTTTAAGGGGCAAGCGCACCTCATTTTTCGTAATGCGATCATCTGGGGACCTGGGAGGTTACTGTCTGATGGGCAAGCACATAGCTGAGCTGTTATCGAGTGATTCAGCCCACCAATGCCTTACTGTTCTTAATACTGACAACCAAACCAAACACGGCTTCAGCTGCCGACACAAGACTTCGTGAACACTTCCAGTCGTCTTCTCAACCTAGCCCTCTCCTTAAGAACAAATGACCGTCACGAAGAGACGACCTTAGCGTGGTGTGACGGTTTGCGCACAGACGACCTTAGGTGTGACGGTTTGCGCACTTCAGCGACCCATTGAGCTATACTGAAGAGTGTCCGGCGACACTCATAGAGTCTCTCATACCGGGTTGGTCAATGGTTAGTGGTCTGACGAACACAGTCTCCTGGCCCTTCTGGTTGGGGGTTTGAACATGTGGCGACTTGTTCCGTAGAAATGTTAATGCATTTGCATTTCCCGCCAAACACCGCTGCCTTGCGGTTAGGCTTTTGAGCCAAAGGCTTTGGTTGAGGACCCTAATCGTCCTCCTGTCTAGGTGTGGGCGCCCTGAGAGTATCCCAGCCCACGTACAACCATGAATTGCACATACACAAATAAACTCATGCCACATCGGCCGTCGCGTGGTGCTATCAGCCGGGTCGCCTTACTTGCTGCATACAGCAGGGCGGGTAAGCGAAAACAGGCTACTGCTGACGTCTCCCTTCTTTCTCCTTCACATACTTTTTCTTCCTCCTCTCCCCACCCCATTAATAACTCTCTCCTTGTAGGCCCAGCACTTAGGACTGATGACTCCGTTCGTCATGCATCGGTTTTGCGTGCAGCATCTGCTCGTCACATGGTGCCGACATCTTCAGGAATCTCCAAATCAGTCCTCAAGCCTCGACACTTAGTCTATCTGGCCGCGTTCAATGTCCGCACTCTGAAGCAAGCAGGACAACAAGCTGCTCTTGCACTCACACTGGACTCGCTTGGCATTGATGTGTGCTGTGTCTCAGAAACGAGAATTCAAGATGCAAGCACAGTGATTGAGTTAACCGCCCCGTCAGTCTCCACTCGCTTCTGGCTACTCACCTCTGGTGATCCAGAGGCTGCTGCGGCGGGATGTGCAGGGGTTGGTATTGTGCTAAGTCGACTTGCGTTGTTAGTATTTTTTCAATCGTGAGCATCCATGTTTCAAAAGCATACAATAGTGAAGATGCAGCACTCTCTTGGTGCAAAAACACCCTTAGTCGATACCAAGCGTCTTATAGCACGTCTGAGCTGTGCTTTGCTGAGTAGGTGGATAGTAAGGAAGGAGATTTTCACGAGCTTACTGAATCACTGGAATAATACCCGAAATACAGTCGGATATTTAAAACGATTTTTACGCGAATCAGATACAGCTTCGTGCTTGTTCTGTAGTGCACGCTTCATACTCATATTGGCAACCCACCACCATCATCATCATCTTCAGGTGCAAAAACCGCGTACTTGTTGTACCGGGGTTATCGCTACAACGGTCTCATTCACCGATGATCTGGGGAGGTAGTGTTGGATATCTGCTCTTTGAGGACAGTAACTGATGCGTGAATACAGGGATTTCAAGGGACTTTTTCACAGGAGGTCGAGAGGGGAGCTATGCACCGAAGGCCACAGATTGGATGCATGCGCACCCTGTCTTCTGGGTCGATTCGAACATTACTTTTCGTGTCAATTCGCTAAATGATGACCCCCAAATGCAGTGAACGCATTCTAAACAAATGCATTCTAAAGCAATGCGGGAAACCCTAGCAGCTATTGGGTTTTTTATTAGGTCGTTCCACCGCATTGACTAGATCATCATTGGCGGATTGGGGATTTTCCGTATTGTTTGGTGTTTCTTCCATTCGACTTAGCTCAACTTAACTCCGTTGAGTATGGCGAAAATTCTGCCATAACCACGTTCATTACGATAACTAAAACATTCAGCTTTTCCACCAAAAAGGTTCAACCCAATATGTTTAGGTACTCAAATTCAACTGAATGTTTCCTCGCGGGAGGTTTGAGAGACTGGAGATTGTTCTCTCCTGGGGTATTTGCTGGTTTGTGTTTCTTGGAAGTATTTTCCACCACAAAGTTGGAATAAACTGAGCACTAAAGGGCCAGTAATAGTTTGGTTCCAAAAGCTCATTCGTAATCGGAACTTACAGCAAGATTTCGAAATTTCACGGGATATGGAATAATAATGATTGCGGCGCATTATTCGTACACTATTTCAGCGTCTAGCAATCAATTTATTGGACTGCAGTGGACAGCACAGCATGACTTAAAACTAGTTCAGTTTATGCAAAAGTTGAATGTTCTGGACTTTCAATTCTCTGCTAATCACCCTCGTTGTTTTCACGCGAATATCGAATATAGAACACTCTCATACGAATGTCCGAGTAGTTAAATAACGGAATTTGAAGTTACACAGACCTGAAGCTTGCATATACGATGTGACATATTACATGGAGTTTGTGCTGAGCGACGTGTACAGCCAGCTGAAAGCTCTTCACCTGGTTGAAAACCCAGGAAGCTAAGACTGTAGGCTAAATAAGGGAAAGTAACTCTATGGCCGTCAACTTGACCATCCACCTGCCCATGATTGTCAAACCATGTTTGGACATTCAAGCGGCTGAAACCTAAGCTGTATACGGAGTGTGCCTTTGTGGCCAGCATCACTCACAGGGCATGGCCGGCTGGCGTTTGCAGCCAACCCGTCAGATCTACACAATGTTGCTGCTGTTACAGGCTTAACACACCGGAATGCTCTTTGCCAAGGTGGAGAATTTGTAGGCTAAAACGGGAACAAACTTAAAATTTAACATGCTGTTTAGGGTGGACTGGTGGCCTGCAATACAGACGAACTGAGCTGAAACCAAACCCACATTATTTTCTATGGTTATCGTGACTCGACCTGCTTTGATCTGCGCGATGATGGTTATGAGAATTCATGCCCAGTGTCAGCACGTTAGTTACGGGCCGAAAGCTGTCAAAACATATTTCTCACGGTCTATTCTGGTGGCATCTATTCCAAGTGTATCAGTGGCGTGCATCGCTGAAAAGCAAGTCCAGATTGCATTCGCATGACGCAGTATGTTTAGCTATACTCTGGTGTTTCCTCACTCGACGGCTTTCACGAAAACTCATCTCTACTGACTGATAATCTTAGAGAACCGAAGTGGGTCTGGCCAAGTTGTTTTATCCACTGGCGGCTCTTCACATCTTCCCTTTCTGACTACTTCTGTTCTCCGGTCAAACATCTTCCAGAGAACCCCAGCATCCGGTACGCCGCGGTACTCTGGCTCACACTTGTCGGCCGCTGAACTGACAAGCACCGGTTCCTACAAACCTGCATTCAGTCAATACAAAGGAGACCGTAAAATCGGTTGCTTAGCGTTGTGAAACAATTTGGTCGGCCAAAAGAGAGACGATCTAGGGACAGTTTTGCAATTTATGCTGTACCACTTAGCATATGGTGGTTGTCAAAGTAACTCGGATGGGCTAGTTGCTGATACGATTGAGCGCTTCACTTGATAGACAGCCCTTGATACTTCTCATAACTAACTAAAAATGATTCTTAAATCTTGTGCACCTGATACAATATCAATAATGCCTTTGATATCTTCCCAGCAGCCCGCTGCTGGTCTTGTTCTCGCCGAGGCCATTTGCTGCGTGTGTTTTTTGAAATTCCACCAAACCTATGTTTTATTTCAACACCAAATTATATGCAACTGACGAGCTAGTCCATAGTTTGACGTCAAGTGCTATACACGGCTGGCGAATCGAATACCCATTTCTGAACACTGATGTCATGCTGTCGATGATGATGATGACGATGAACAAATGAAAGAAAGCGCTTGATGTCAGCTGGCGTGTGTATCGGCACTTAATATTCAGGAAGTCTATAACTAAGTGCTCATATAACCCATCTTTATTCGGTCAGTATGCTTTGGATTGTATGAAATGCTCATCCGTGATTGTCCGCGAAAGTGGTGTTTACGGCGAAAGTTTCCACAATACTCATCTGTCTTTCATTTTGTTAGGAATCGATTGACGACATAGTGCATTCCGTAGAGCGAGCAACCAAAGCGCCAGGAAAGTCGAGGGCATTTGTTCGTCCATCTGGAACTGAAAATATTGCTCGAGTTTATGCGGAATCGATTGACCAAACTTGGGCCGATTGGTTAGCTCAGAAAGTTGCAGTGGCCACCCACCACTTTGTCGGTGGTGACCAGCAACCCGCGGATCCCGGACCAATGCCCACATTCAATCAATAAACATTGCTCTATTTTTTATTATGGACATAGCTATTTTCTATTTTACTTATTCTTTGTGATTGATCTGTGATTAATGCGAATAAAGTTGGTGGTGTACGGTCCTGCAATTTTATTCTCCAGTCAGTTTCAAACTTTGCGCTGCTGTACAATTGGCAACCGTATGGTGTTTTATACGGGTTGTTTGGAGTTTCTTCCGGGACTTTGACTGTCTCTCGCTTGCCAGCTAAATTAAAACAGACCGAGTCCCACTCGTCGAAAAAGGCCAAGACACCGAGTGACTTCCAGTTTACGGTCAACGCACGCCATTCGTTCAAATTGTACTAACTCTAAACTGACCGACCGCTTGCAGAAAATGCTGGTGTCCCAAACACCGATGGGGGATTTTACATGATGTAAAGGTCGACGCGAAACCCGTATCTTAAATTGCATGAGCAACATTTGAACCTTCGCACCAGAGCTGAAGAACGATGTAAACAAGAGATTGAACCAAGAAACAAGTCACTAGCTTTCAATATTCCACAAAGTGATCATAAAGTGAGGAAGAATTTGGATGATTTCACATAATGAACCACTGAAGCTTCTTGTCTGTTGTCGAGTGTTGCCTTTTGTTAAGTGGAACATCCATACAACGACCGCTGGCGGAGTCGGTCGAAAACTTGTTCCTACGATAAAAACTGGGTTTCATCCTTTCAGAGGGGTTTGGTAAACAATCGGTGGATTTACCAAACCCCTCTGAAACGATGACTTCCCAATCGGTCTCAAACATTTTCCAATTGATTGGGTTTCATCCTATTAAGGCTTCAACAGGAATAAGACGGAACCTAATAAGAGCTGTCGCTAGAGAGGGGCATAGCCGTAAAAAGCACGCCGACCGTATTCGAAAATGTTTTGCGACTCGAACACGACATCCTATGTAGCATTAGAATAGTTGCACCACCCGGCGGAACGGCCTCCATGGTCGTATTAAGTATTCATTTTCTATATGGTTCTTCGCCGAAAACGAACAGTATTTTGTCTACTCCCCTGCTTCATTTCACGTGTTTGCAAGTGGGTAGTTGGTATAACTTAATTCACCCCAGTCCAACGACTTACCCCACCAACGGTCAGTTCCCGCGACCTAGTGTCCATAGAAGGAGACGCTAAAGTGTTTTGGCTAACTAACTGTTATATCTGCTCAAGGTGCCGTTTGCCTCCGGTTACGGGACTAACTATTCACTAAAAGCACTCACGAAATTGAATTGCACCTATCTCCCGGGGTCCGAACATGTACGTGGCTCGCTGCTTGCCTGTGCAGCACCTCACCTAAAGTTGGCGGTCGAGCTCTACTGCTGCCGTCATCCCTTGGTTCATTCTGACTAAAACTTTTCTTCAAGGTGCAACCACGCCAGAAAGGCCAACGCGGTGCAATCCAACAAAGAGCAGCAAGTCGCTGACTACGAGAAGTGTCACAAGACGATATGGAAGTGATACCCTCTGCGGTAGAAGTAGGAGAACAATAAGCTGCTTCCCTCAGACGATCAGCATATCCGTAATTATGGGAGCAGCGGTGCTGCCTTCGCATGAGAAAGGATGTCTTTTGAGAAAAAACAGTAACGGTGAGCGTGACCACCGTCTGCTACGGTTGAAAACATACCCCAGCGAAGCTTCAGTGTTGAGCACTGATGTCATACTGTCGATGATGGTGATGATGGTCGAAATGCTTGAAAGTCCAGCATCCGGTACTGTCTGAAAACACCTGACGGGTCAAGTGTCAACTTCCCACAATTTACCTCCCGATCTGTCAGAATAGGTCAGCCCTCCTTTACTGTCTTGTGGATGTGACCTTGAGGTCAGAGGCCTTTGTTTCCAGCTTGGAAAACAGCAAAAGGTTGCTTTTCCACACTTGACACCAGCTTCCGAAAGTAATTTTTGATGGTCGTCGTTGTGTTTAATCCAACTGACAGGTGGTAGCAGGTTTCTGCGTGCTAACCCACCGTCCCTACTCTCTAGGGCCTGAATCGGTATCAGGGGTTTGCACATGGCACCGCGTTCTATTCCGCGCAGGCCGACCATGCACAGTGAGGTGATATCCTCGAACCCTATCCCCAGAGTGGATTTCGGTTAGATTCACTTCATGTGTTATTCTAAAGCGTACCTCGCAGTGTTTGACGTAAAACGTCCATCATACCAGTAAAGAACTGCTCATGGTTGTTGAACGCCATAACTTCTCATCTGCTTCATATTCCAGACTTTTCAACGGCCAACCGCCTAATTTTGCCATGCTAACGGTGCCTTTATTAGCACGCCAGCCCTACACATATTCCCTGCTTATCCCACATTGTTCGGGGCGCTACATGCCGCCAGGAACACTGTTTAGACCGCATCATCAACGATTTGACGAAAACTGCGAACGATTACCTCGGCCACATCCAGAAACACCCAGATTTAAAGGTCAGTTTTTCAGCCAGTTTGTTTTGGTGTCTTGGCTTATCTGGAAGTCGGTCATTGTTTTTCCACTTTTTATAACGATTTAGCCGTCAAATTCTATCGCAATATATATAGCTCCTTATCCCAAACCGTAGTCGATAACGCGTTTACGGTGATCCGAGGAATAGGTTAATATGAAATGACAGGTAAGTGGGCTGGCTCATCGTCATCACCCTCATTATCAACAACTGTTACGTAGCTGGCAGGACCACTAAACATAATTTGACTGTTTGGGTCATTGCCTCCAGTGCCTTTCGCATTCTTCTATTCTGCTTACTCTCAGTGAACGAAGTTGTAGCAGTTGGAACCAATGTAATTCGGCACCTGGTTTGTAGCTGAAAAACTAAACCGAACTGAACTGTAGCCTGGCAAGATGACGTCATCTGCATATTCCAGTTCGGGTTTATAACTATTTGTCGTAATTTGCGCGCCTCTGCAGCGCCCGAGAGCGTTTCCAATACTCAGTCAGCGAGGTAGTTGAGGGTATGAGGCATTCCTGCGCTACTTCTATGTGAAGGTCAAAACCATAAGACTCTCACTGTATCNGTAGTTGAGGGTATGAGGCCTTCCTGCGCTACTTCTATGTGAAGGTCAAAACCATAAGACTCTCACTGTATCCTCGGATTTATGTTTTGGTGGCACAATAACACGACCATGACGATCCAGCTCCGTCAAGTGACATCACGTTCCACGGCGTACTGTGGAAATCCATGGATGGTGTGACAATGGGATGTTGGAATCTGAAGCAGTGCTCCAGTGTTCGACGCATGGTACATGTCAGGTAGACATCAGAACTTCCTGTCTGACAATGAAATCCGATTAAGTAAGAGTATTTAGAATACCCTGGCCATCACGCCCCTTTATCAAGAGTTCTAGTGGGCTTGAAATAGCCCAGTCAGGTGAGGCAGTTATGTTTCCAATACAGAGATCCGGTTGACTCGTACACGCTGTAGGTAGGCCAGCTGGGTGTCGTGCTTTCGTTGAGTTTTTTTCAAGCTGTCAAGATCTCCTCCTTTATCAGTGCGGTGCTGTTGAACTCCTACACAATCGTATGGTTCATAGACGAGAGTTCGACGGGATTGTAGGTCAGTTGAGCAGCTTACACAAGAAAGTGAAATCCAGCTACTGACCTTCAGTCGGTATCTGTTATTAGGGGACCTGCAGAGAGGGGTTGAACAGCACTTCCATCATAGCTGATGAATTACAAAGATCACCTCAGTCCCCTGATTTACCGGGGGATGGTTATTGTTCCCGCCATGATTGACTTGCAATCAGGATTTTGCCAGTTTATTAAGATGGAGAACGACTGTAACGTTAACCAGACCTTGGCATCTAACACCCACTTTTTTCTTTTACATTTAGCTGAATGACCACGATAAGGCAGTGTGTAGGGCGTTCTTAGAAGACACAAGAAACGAATTTATTCGTCTCCAGTGTCCCTTTCCCTATCATAGCACTAAGATGCTTGCAGGCCAGCTAGTCACATCTGAAGGTATATGTTTGCTAACTTTTTTTTAGAAAATGAGATTCTTTGTATGAAGAATTGTAGAGACCGATTTCAGGCTGAAGTGGTTGACACACTTGATGGCGCCAAGCTATTGGCTCCTGTGTAGTCGATGTGCCCCGATCAGGTGTTAACTGGAGCGACGTAACCACTCATTAGATTTTTCCTCATAGTTCCTTTTTTGCTCCCAAGTGAATGTGAGTCGGTATTTTCAGCCTCGGAAATGGATACGCTACTGCAAAAACGCTAATGTTCCAAACTACTCATAAGTAGCTGTGTGGAAAGCCTCATGAATCTACCTAAGGCCCCATATCTCATAATTCATTTCGAGTGAGCAGTGGATAGCTGCCATTCATGCTTAGTTGCATTGTTCCACTCAAAGCCATGTGTTCGCTTTGGTGCACCAGTATCTTGACGATATCGATTTTCCTGTTTTTCCATACGCTGTCTGTCATCCCTCCATGATAGTACTCTGCCAAAGAAGACCTCCAAGAAGAAGACACCCACCATCAACTAATATCGCCGTCTTCAGGAAAGGTCAAAATGCCCATCCATGTAGAGGGATTGCTTTGAAGTAGTTTATGCTATAGGCGGGTGACATTGTTTATGCGATTCAACGGAGGTAGGACTGGGTAGGCCGATGTGTGACCAATATCTGACGGGTTTGATCCGCGATCTGACGAATGAGTGGTATTTGGGATTGGACCGTCCGATTCAACCGCAAAACTCCCTTGCTAGAACAACCGGTTCCTTGGGACAATTGTTGAAGACTTTAGGATCCCGGTTCTCCCTCTAGTTGCCCTTATTTTGTTTCGAACTCCCACCGGTCCTTCTGCATAATAAAAATAGGATTACTTTTTATCCATTTCCTCTATCATCGGCTATATACAGTGTTCAGTTTGTAAAGTGTTTTTCTATCTTCTTTTTGCTTTCTGATGGTGTCAGAATTGTGGGATAAGGACGAACGCGTTAGATGTGATATCCAGTGGGATATAAATCTACTCTTGACTAAATTTTATCGTTGGTGGCGAGACCAAGAAAGGGTGTTGCTGGGGGACTGTTGGCTCTGTGTTACAGCATCCTCATATAGAGGCACGGGGACCGCTATGGCAAGTGAGCTCGCTGGCCA